AAACATCACCTCTTGACGATAGCAAGGATTTCACTTCGGTTTGCCATTATAAATAGAAAAAATATCATGATTCTCTTATAAATTGTCAACCCGGTTCAGCCCCTAACTTAGAGCAATGAAATATCACACAACTCAGTAACTAGCAATTGCTTAAAGTTTTCATAACAGCACCTTCCCCACAAAGCATCGTGTATTATTTGGTTTCAGTGCTAATACAAATTAAACTAAAATTCAGGGGGCACAGTTCTGATGTATCTGTGAGTCAATAGGTGTTTGAACACATATGAAAATTCCTGAATCTTCTATTAACACCCATATGGCATATTATACTCATATGTACTGCCAAATATAACTGCAGAAAAATTAACTAAGATCTATATGCTACGCAGGCCTTCTTCACAGAAAAACATAACCCCATTTCCGTTACAAATTGAAGATATCAACACAAAGCTTATTACCTCGCCTCTTTCACTGCCATCAGTTCCCTCTAAATCCACGGCAATGGTGAAAGGTTCAATGCCAGCACACTTATCTATCCAAATTCCCTTAGTTGTCTGACTCCTGCCCAAAATGATAAATAAATAAAATAAAATTTACGAATCTCTTACATTAAGCTGCAAAATAAACGAATTTAAGAAACTCAAACAACCAACCTTCCTTCAAATGCATCCATCTCTTTGAATTTTGTATCAAAAAGATGGTTCATTAAAGTACTCTTCCCTGTTCACCATTAAGAATAAAAAGAAAAAAAAAGATACTAAGCCAACAGAGCATTAAATCACAATGAAAACGTGAAAAACCTTACATTTAATTAAAATAAAAAATAAAAAACCGAAATTTTGCAACATCATATTTATTATTACAACAAAACCAAAGCGGAAACTTTTCAAATTAAACGTCATAAATCAGTGAAATCTGGAACAAATTTAAAAAGATCGAACTTCAGAAGCATATATACCACTACTTTGTGGGCCCACGATAGCGACGACGGAGTAGTCGCGGCCGCGATCGGGGAGGTTGGTGGCGCGGACGAAGTGGTGGAGACCGTCGACATTGAAGTAGCCGTTACCGGCAATGAGTTGGACAGAGCAAGGAGAGACTTCAGCCATAAGGAAGCGAAAAATTCTAGGGTTTGAGGGAATCAAATTGAAAAAGAAAGAAGTAGAAATTGAGAGTCTAATAGAAAAAATGAAGTGGACGAGTCACAGCTCACAAGTATAGACTAGAAGGTGAAGGAAGAAGGAGATAAAAGACAAACTGACTTGGCAAGTCAAGGAGACGACACGTGGGTTTCTCTTTACTTTGGAAACTTTTTTCGTTATTGTACGTTGGTTTAAACTCTAAAGTGATTGATTTAATATCATTACAAATGAATATTCTGTCGTGTGATTCATGAATACTAGGTTTATAACATACGCCCCCTAAAATATGATAAAATATTAAATCCCCCAATAGTGTTATAATAATAACAAAATTGCTCCTATCACTAAGTTTTTTGTGCTAAAATAAACAGTAGAGGAGCAGCATCATAAATATTTATTAACCCATCATATTATAAATTCTAAGAGTGCACTAACAACTCACTAATAAAAGGAGGATTTATGTTATTTCTGAAATCTTAGGGGGAATCTGTTACTTGATTAAACCTCAGGGGTTTTACAATCCAACAATATTTTAAGAATGTGATTTTCTTTCGTGGGCCGTTGTCCGGCTTGTTTTGGCAAATTCAATGACATCCAAAGGTAGTCAACGCGGGTTTTAAGGCGTAAACCTTATGTTTAAATTAAACTAACTAGTTACCAAACCAAGCAAGAAAACTATATTCTTTTCTGTTCGAAATAATTACTGGGTCAAATTGAAATTTGACATTTCCTTAACTACCTTAATTAAGACTATTTATCCAATTTCTTCACTTTTATATACATTTAGTATCCCTTCTTAAAAACAATATATTTTATTTCTTAATTTTTTCATAAGAATATAATTAGGTAATTTATATGTTAGTTTAAAGAAATTATGATCTCAAATTCTAATACTAATTTGGAGAATAATTTTAGAAAAAAAATTGTATTGACTCTAGTACTAGCATAACCAATTAAAAACATATTAGATTATAATTTATAAAAAATAAAATGATATATTAAATAGCTTTCTCTTGTTTATAATGAACATATAATATGAGCCATAATATAGAAATTAAAACTAATAACACGACATATAGTAAACTCAGTAATAATGTTCAACATGAATTCATACCATAGAATATAAGACTCATAACATAACATAAAATAACATTTGTAATAATAATTTGTATGTTAATGTTCAATGGATTACTAATTTCATGATCAATTTTATAATAAAAGGAATGAACTTGAAAAGCATATATACCACTACTTTGTGAGCTCATGATGGTGACGATGGTATAAGAAAGGTCACTATCGGGGAGGTTGGTGACATAAAGGAAGTTGTCAAGACTGTCAGACATTAAAGTTGCCATTACTAGTGATGAATTGGACGGAGCAAGGAGAGCCTTCGGCCATAAGGAAGCGAAATTCTAGGGTTTGTGGGAATCAAAATTGAAAAGGAAAGAACTAGAATTTGAGAATCTAATGGAAGAAAATGAAATAGAAGGTGATGGGAGAAGGGAGGCAGCTGTCTCACTTTGACTTCTAGTGCAGAAAAATTGACTTGGCAAGTTCAAAAACGACACGTGGATTTCTATTTATTTAATAGAAACTTCTTTTGTTCTAATGTGATTTTATAATCATATTAATTAGTAATTACGGATGAAAAAGACAGATGGAAAAGATAGACTTTGAAATTCAAGCATATATAATAATTCTTTTTATGTTTTGAAATAATAAAAATTCTCCTTATTTGTAAATTGTTGAAATTTCTTCTGTAATGAGTTAATCAAAATTATTAAATTATTTTTTATCATTTATTTTAGGGTTATTATCAATCAGGGGATATTTTCATTAAAAATATATAATTATAAGAAACAAATATTAAAAAATAATGAGATGATACTTAACGGTTTAAAATCGTTAACTTTAATTGAAATATTTTAAATGACTGAAATATTCATCTTCAAGTGATTTTATTATTTAAAAAAATCAAAACAAAAAATAAATCGCTATATATATACACACACCATTGTACAAATTAAAAAATAAAGTAATATATATTTAAAAAATTAAAACTAAAATATAAACTATAAAGTATAGTTAAAAAATTTCCTTAATTTTTCTGCTTTTTTATATTTTTTTTACTGTTGTATACTCATTTATTTTTATTTTGATATGTGTCGTTTCCTTGTTGATTTCTTTTTCGAATTTGTTGTAATTAAAAAAAATCTTATTTTATATGAAACTATATTACACATAAATTATCTTAATACCCTTAATAAAATTAAAATTAACGATTTTAAATCGTCAAGTTTCCAATAATTATAAGTTTACGATAAAAGTGTCATGTAACTGATAATAACCCTTTTATTATAACATCTAAAACTTAATGGTAAGAGAATTTTTGTCATTTTTGAAACCTCTATCTTAAAAGATTTTTGTTATTTTATTATAACTAAGTCAGATTAATGTCATTAACCATATTAATTAATAATTGTAGATAGACGGAAAGGGGTTATTTGTACTTTCATCCTTTAGATTTAGAGCTGCACTAACCTCCTATAAGTACTTATAGGATATGAAAAGTTTAATCCAATCAGATAATATTTTTCAATAAAAAGCCTATAATACCCCTATTGTCTTATATACATGTTATTAGAAATTAATAAAATACAAAAGAAAAAAGTATAAAAAAATACTACTCCTAAAAGGAAAAAAATCAATTTTTCATAAGATAACAGGGTAATTTAAACTTTTTATTGAAAACTTTCACCTAATTGAATTGAACAGTTCATATCTGATAGTATTAGAGGTAAATAATATACTCCAAACCTTAAGGATAAAAATGTCAATAACCCAATGGAAAGTGATTCAATATCTATAAACAGATATAATGAATATTGCTAAGAATGGACGGTCAACATTATTCTTTCGAGTCACCAAAAGGAGAAAGAAAATAAAAGATATTTATTGTTGTTTATAAGGGAAATTTCCAAAAAAAAAAACCCATATCTTTGTCGCTTTCTGCCAAAAAAACAAAAAAAAAAAAAAAAACTGTCAATTACACATAACCATCATTTCGTCGACAATCATTAATAAAATAAATAAATAAATAAATAGGGTAATATTATACCTACACTATTTTTTACGTCATTTTATAAATATCATGATGTGACATAGGTTACAATCACATAAATTTTATTATAATATTAAAAATTTAAAATAATTAAAAATTGGTGTGATTGTAATTTATGTCATATCATATCATGATGTAATACAAATTATGTAAAAGAGTGATGTAAGTGTAACATTACTTAAACGAAAAGACAATCACGATTTTAAGAAGGTATATCAAAAAGTCAAAAATACCCTTTATATATTTATTGAATATTAAAACTTAAAAGTACCTTATTAAAGGTTAAAGTGACTACAGAATCGGGGGTTATTGTAATTAACTTTCTTTAAGTTTCTTTTCTATACTATCAAAAAGCGGCAAACATATGGGTGTTGGCAGATCGCCTTGTTTATAATGGAGGTATAACTTTAATTTCTATTTGAGAGAATATACAATATTATCAATTGAACCCAATTTAATAATTATTACTAATTCCATAATAATTATGTAAATATAGAAATGAAAACTAATAACACAACATATAATAAGCCCAGTAATAATGTTTACATGAATTCATAATATAGAATAAATAACTCATATCATAACTTCAGTAATAATAATCTATAATGAGTATTAAATGTTCGTTGTATCACTAATTTCATGATCAATGAATCTTGTATTAAAAAACAATGTTATGCATGCAAATTATTCTCTACAATATTATGTAATATACTTTAATTTATTTATAATTTCAAATCACACAATTATCTTAAAACGTGTATAAAGAGTTTGTACAAGCAAAAAGTGTTACTCTATGTTCAATATTCGAAGAACTGACAAATACACGACAAAAGAAAATCTGTACTCTATAAAAACCAACCCTAACATCACATATTTACATACTGCTTCAACTGAGGTAGTTAACAACAAAACCCGCCACTGATACAGCTATTGATACAGCCGTGGGTAAGTTTGACCAGATGGAAGCACGAGCGGGAGCCAGAGGCGGAGCCGGATCAGGTGTGGGCGCGGGCCAGTTGGGAACCCGCTTGTAAGCCTCCTGTGGTAAACAAACAGGTCATATGTGAGAGTCTAAGAGATGCTAAATACATGCAATCATACAAACTTTTGATGATATCTATCAATCGATAAATATATTTTTAGTTTTGTTAATAAGAAATAATTGAAACTGTTGTTTTTTTAGTGTTTTTAACATGTGCTCTTAGGACACACATCAAAACCACCCTATATTCAGTACAATTTTCAAATTGAACAATTCACGAAAATTAGTTAAGCTATTCACCATTAATATATATCCAATTTTGTATTTGAAAACAAGTAGCGTAACCTTACCTCCAATGCTTTTGATTGCAAATATTGACGTTTCACAGTTCTAACATCATCATCAAAGTAGATAGTCTCCCTGTCGTACCTATGAAAAATAGAATTTCGCATACGAAACAAAGATCAGAGCTTCCGAAAAGAGTTGTATCAATGAAAATACTCCAAGACTGTCGGTGTACAATATACACAATTACTCAGGATAATCATTTTTAGATGTAAATTTCACAACCTCAGTTTCAGTTAAACATTAATCATCATTCATTTCTAAGCAATACATCAACTGCACATGCACTTTGATAGTCTACATACGATTACATAAAACAAGTAAAATCATATAATTAGACTTGAAAATATATTGGACAGAGATGTGAACTTACTCGGAAAGATAGGTATCGAGAACAGCATCGAGCCTTTTTCTAAATTCTGGGACAGGATGAACTTGAATATCTGCCTCCAAAGCCAACCAACCCTGCAACAAATCAACTAAGTACTGGCTAACAAACAATGTTCGAATCAGACCAGTAATTCCTGCAAGGGAGATGAATGTAAAAAGAACCTCATTCGCAAACAAACAGTGGAGCTTCTCATTGGCAATTTCTTCACAACGAACAGTTGCGACCATTACCTGATAAATGTTAACAAAAAAGTATATATATATATAGATATCAGTGAAATTGAAAAGTCGCAGAACATATACTGAAACAAAAATAATAAAACCTTATGAGCAGGAAGATCCAGGTCCTTGTTTTCTTTTATATCTTTCCATATCCGTTGTGCACTAAGAGAAAATCCTGAGGCAGGAACAACTCCTTTTCTATCTCCAGCTAGTCCTCCTGGAGAGATGGAGTGGAAAAACCGCTCCCTCAGTTCAGCAACCTACATGCCATGTCAAAATTATAAGCCCGTAGATACCAACTGTAAGCTATGTATTTCACAAAATAAAAATTATTTAGGCCAAGATGCCACGACGACAAAGATTTCCAACACTGATTATTTATGTAAATGTTAGTAGACTGAAAATGTAACAACAAACGCCAAACTCAGTTGAGCCAGTAAAGGTCGCAACCCATTTTAATAGAGGTTTGATAAACTTCCTAATCTTATTAATGGCTACCTGCTCTTTAAACTGCTCCTCCTTCTCTTCATAGCTAGATAAGGCAATGACCTCCACCTACATGTCAAGTAAGAAATTAAAAGAATCATATGTTAGAATCATATGTTAAGTATAATATAAAGTAAATACAGAAAAAATAATCAGTCACAGAGCAAGAATTGGAGAACATTTACTTACATTAAAAAACTCACTCAGAGGAGTACTTTTGAAGGCCTCAGGTTTAGGAACTGCATCCCATATCTGTAGAAATCACCACCTATCAAAATGTTGAAGAAATGAAATAAACAAAAGAATGAACAAACATAAATAAATATACCTTCTGAATATCCCGTCTTAAAATAAGATCTAGTTTTTCAAGCGAGGTCTGCATGGAGAGTACATAAACAAGATATTGATTCAAAAGAGAAGAGAAAGTCCCTTCCACAAAAAGAATGAAGCGTAAAGCAAAAATATAAAGTGCAAGTCCACACCTTGGTTTTATCACGTATAACAAAAAGAAGGGTAGTTTTACGTGGGCCAAACAGACGCATCATGACCTACATAAGCACAGAAACACACAAAATTATGTAAAATAAACAGACATGTATACAATAAACAGACAATAAGACATTGACCATGGACAACTGGCTAGCGTACCTGGAAAACCGTTTTTAGAAGAGGCTTATTGGCAGCATGCTCCCGACCGATATCATGGCACCACCTACACATGACATTAAACATCTTATTAACGCTTGAAACTGATGCCTAAACTTTTTGTGTTTCCACAAGATTTCGGTGCTTCCAGTAGATACATTTAAGAAACTCCAGGATATAAATCCAAATTTAGACAGCATTAAATTCTGATTAAAGGCATCCATGTAAAATGAAATTTGGCGAAGAAAAATAAACTTACGTACAGACAACAGAAAATGTGAAAAGAAAAATTTGCTGATCTTTCTTCTTTTTTTTTTTGTTTTCCTTGGAACAAAGAAGTGAAGATATAAATTGCCAAAAATTATCCTGATATGGCAGTTTTCAAACATCAAATCACAATTAATAAAACACTCCTTCCAGGATTAAACGCAATAATACCAATTACATGTTTGTTTCTGTAATGCCAACACATCTGCAGCTCTAAATGCAATATTAAACAAACTCACATGTTAATCAGTACAACATCTGCAATTGCCAAAGCAAAGAGGGCACTCTGTTTCTCGAATGCAGTGTCATCCTGAAAAAAAAAATGGCAGACACACTTAATGGGTGATGAAGATATTTTCCCAGAAACTAAGTATAATTTCAACAGATAAAGAAATGATAATATCCCTCTCACAAAGGACACACTACATTACACCTTGCACATCCGAAGCTCCTACTTGAGAGCTTTACATCATGCCGTAGTCACATCTCCGCAGACTTTCGGTAACCTCTCTACTCCCTAGCCCTCACTATATTAGCCTCTGTCGACCTTAATGACTTAGCGTTGAGGGTGCCTATGGCAAAACCCCACCCCGGTGTTTCCCTTCACTTCACGCGTTTGTTTCTCTACGTGTGCAGGTGCAGCGGATCGCTAGTGGCTTCAACCTGACGGATCCCCCCCTTCCGTACAGGTAGATTTTTACATCTACAATACTTAACAGTGTAAAACCGTGAAAATATTTTAGATGACTGAAGTATTCATCTTTGAGTGATTTTATTATTTAAAAAATTCAAAACAAAAATAAATTGCTAAATTTAAATACACACACACCACACACACACCACACACACCACCACACACACGAGTGACAAATTAAAAAAATAAGCAATATATATATTAAAGATTAAAACTAAAATATAAAGTATAGTTAAAAAATTCCTTTTTTTTTTTTACTGATGTATCTCATTTATTTTTATTTTGATATGTGTCATTTTCTTGATGTTTCTTTTTCAAATTGTTGTAATTAAAAAAAAAACTTATTTATATGAAAATGATATTCACATAAATTACCTTAATACCCTTAATAAAATTAAAATTAACTATTTTAAATCATTAGTTTCCTATAATTATAAGTTTACGATGAAAGTGTCATCTAACTCATAATAACCCTTTTATTATAACACCTAGAACTTAATGATAAGAGAATTTTATCATTTTTATTTTTGAAACCTCTACCTTAGGGAGATTTCTGTCATTTTTTATAACTAAGGCAGATTAATGTCACTACCATTAATTAATATTGTGACAGACGAAAAGGGGTTATTTGTAGTTTCATCCTTTAGTTTGAGCTGCACTAACCGTCGGTACTTATAGATATGAAAAGTTTAATCCAATCATATAATATTTTCAATAAAAAGCCTATAATCCCCTATTGTCTTAATAACAGTTATTAGAATAATAAATACAAAAAAAAACTATTAAAAAAAAATACTACACCTAAAAGAAAAAAAAAATCAATTTTTCATAAGAGTAATGGGTAATATATATAGGGGCCACTTTTAGCGGGTTACTTATATATATGTGGTGTGTGTGTGTGTGTGTTGATAAGTAGAAATCAGGTATCAGAAAGAATGAAGAATATTGCAAGGATTAAAGTGAGAAAAGGAAAATCAAAACATGATTACGGAGGAAGACACATAATGTAGTTTGGTTTACTTACTGGTAATTAGTGCTTACTCCGTTTTTTCTACTGTTTGCAGGTACTAGATGATTTACGGTCGAATGGGACGTCAGAAGCGAGGAGCATGACAACATTGTCCAAGACTATTTGTACTTATTAAAATATATCAGTTATTTTGTGTATAATATATTATATATATGTTTACAAAGTTATTTAATGAATTTTTCATATATTTCTTAAAGAATTGCTAACTAGAGAGTATATATATATATATATATATATATATATATATATATATATATATATAATTCTTCATTTTTAATAATATGTAAATAAGATAACAAGGATAATTTAAACTTTTTTTGAAAACCTTTTTGTACTTATTAAAATATACAGTTATTTTATGTATATATTTATATATATGTTTACAAAGTTTTAATGAATTTTATCATATATTTCTTAAAGAATTGCTAACTAGAGAGTTATATATATATATATAATAATATATATATATAATATATATTATATATATATTATATATTCTTCCATTTTTAATAAATGTAATATATAACAAGGATAATTTAAACTTTTTATTGAAAACCTTTACCTAATTGAATTAAACCGTTCATATCCGATAGTATTAAAGGTAAATAATGTACCCCAAACCTCAAGATAAATGGTAAATAACCCAATGGAAAGTGATCAATATCTATAAGAGATATAATATATTCTTTGGTGTGCTGACAATGGACCCAGCATTATTCTTTCAGTCAGCAAAAGAAGAAGAAACGAAAGATATTTATTTTTGTACGAAAGATATTTATTGTTGTTTATAAGGATATTTCCAAAAAAAACCCATATCTTTGTCGCTTTTTACCAAAAAAAAAAAACGTCAATTACACATAACCCCATTTCGTCAACAACCATTAATAAAAATGAAAGACAATATCCAGGTTTTATGAAGGTATGTCAAAAAGTCAAAAATACCCTTATATATTTTTTGAATATTAAAAGTGCCTTATTAAAGGAATAAAGGTTAAAGTGACTACAGAATAGGAATAAGGTTAAGTGACTACAGAATTGGGTTATTGTAATTTACTTTTTTTTCTATACTTCTGAAGCGGCAAACATATGGCCATATGGGGGTTACAATATGCCTTTTTATAATGGAGGCATAACTTGACACAATATTATCAATTGAACCCCATTTAATAATTATTACTAATTCCATAATAATACGTAAATATAAAATAAAACTAATCACAACATATAATAAGCTCTGATACCAATAAAGCAGATCTTTTAAACAAAACAAGTAATGAAAATAATGTAAAGAATGAAGTAAAAGCAAAGTAATTGCAATTGAAGTCAAGTCAAATAAAGAAATATTGTAATGAATTGAAAATTGATTGAAAGTAAACAAAGTCAAATAATATAATGAATGAAATGAAGAAATTACAATCTTTATTACTTTGATAATTTGTACACGAGAGGAAACTTTCTCTCTCTCAAAGGTTTACAAACTTAAAATTTTTGTGATCTATCTAAGCTTTCAAAACTTGATGCGTACAAAGGAAGTGATCTCTATTTATACTACAACAGACCGGATTTCAAAACATTTGAATCCGTTACATATTGCAATACAGGAAAAAGATAAAGTTGTTATAAGTGATGAGCTTTCTTGGATACGTGTCTTATTATTGATGATCTGCTCTGGAAATGGTAGACAAACAGATAAGGCTCATTAAAAGATTTCTTGAAAGTCTTGCTTGTTGTCAGGGAGCTTGACAAAATATGTCTTGAAATTGTTGAAAACTTTGCAAAAGCCACGTAAAGGATAATTCTGAAAAAGTCTTGAAGTCTTGAAAGTCTTTAAATTTTTTGCAGAAACCTTTGACAATTTGCTTCTGGGCAGAGGAAAAGCCGACTGGAGAAGAATCTTGTCAGCGCCGAAATTTTTGAATTTTGAGACTTGAAATTATTGCAGAACTGGTCATCAGCCTTTATTGAATTCATAATTAACTGGTTTTGGACATGACAAAATAGTCATCCTCATCTTGATCGCTTGGTGATTTGGTGCTTTCTGAGTCTGTTTTTGAGATGTTGAAGATCCATGGCCATAATAATTTTGTCCATATCTTGAGGATTTTGACATTGAGCCAACTCAGCAAGGAGTCTTGATTTTTGAGTCAAAAATGTTATTGTTGTTGAGGTTGACATAACTGCGGTGTTGAGAGAGCCACACTGCACAGCTGGTGGACTAATATTTTGGATGGAAAAACTAGGCCACCATTTAATAGAAATGTCCTTGTAATTCTCGGAATTTTGGAGGAGGAGGAGGAGGGTAGTGATATGAAATTGCCAACTCATTATCCAGGCAATTAAGAAATCTTGAAAAAGCAGCAAAGGTCTTCACTGTTGTTGAAATTTTTTGTAAACATAGATATCCTTCCAAAACTGAAGGTGGAAAGATTTTTTCATTAACCGAAAAAATTAACCATGTTGAAACCATTTTGGAAATGTTTTTGGACAAGTTTTGTCAAAAATGAAAAACCAAGAGTGTGTTTGTATGAGTTAAACAGAAAGTATGAAACCAAGCTTTGATAATCTTTATAAGAAAATTCTTGGGAATGAGGATTGAGAAAATGGGCGTCTTTATAAATTCCAACCGCCAATCTTGAGGTCTTAAAACCTTTTTAATTTTGCATTTTGAAAAAGCAATTCTATTGGGATCATTTCTATCAGGATTATGGGTAATCTCTATTGAATCAGTATCAACTAAAATAATTCATAAAATTTTCTTGTTTTTAATAATCTCAGGAATAAAAAAAAAAATCTGGAGGGAAAATTTTTGATAAAGTTTCTTGCATAGTTTGTCCCCAATATTCGGGTTCAACAATGCAAATTGATTGAGTTATCTTTTTCAATGTATTGAAAAGTGGGATTAATGTCGACAGGTTTTGATGGAGAAGGGGTATAGGTTGGTGTATGGTTAAGGGCTTGTTGGTAATTTCTTGGTGGAGATGAAGAAACAGATTCTTCATCAAGAAGAATAACCGGTTTGGTTGGGTGATAATGTTTTTCTGTTTTTGGGTTTTGCGGACCTTGATTGTGAAGGTTTTGTTTGTGGGGTAATAGGTTGTTGAGGTGGTAGCATCGCATACGATGCCTTTGATTTTGGATCGTTTTTGGTTTTGTGGAGTGCCCATCTTTTCCTCACTTTCACTCTTTCCTAATAAATCTGTGTCCTGAAGTTTTGTGATGAGAGAGACTATTAGAAAAACTTTTTGATTTTTGCATTTTATCGAAATATAATTTTGAAACTTTTGAAATCTTAATGCAAAAAGTTGAAAACAAGTTTTTGTAATGCAAGCGTCCAAAATTTTGTTATATCGAGCCATTCTTTGGTAGGACAATTTCTAGACTCTTTAATTTGGTAATAGTGTTTATCTTAGATATTGAAATATTCTTTAATTTACAATATCCTTTATTAATGGTGGATTGACAATTCAAATGTTACTTCCTGTCCTAAAATATTGGTTGTAATTCCCTTTTTGTTACACTAAAAGGGTAAATTTGAGTGTAAAAGGTGTACCTAATATACGTCTTGATCTAATCTTTTGCTAAAATA